TCCAGGTGATGCCACTGGGTGCACTAACTCAGAGTGAGTAATTCAATGCTCACCTAGAGGGAAAAATTTATACTACAAAAACTCTGCCCACTGAAGCTTTTTACCATTTTGGGGGTGGGGGGTACCCCCTCATGTATAAACCATAGATGCATGAATGGATTTTGATCTTGCACTTAATTCTAACCCCAATCTAACAACAATTACTTCTTATGATGTGGCCCTACTCAATGGTCTCCCCTCATGAAGATATCACTGGAGATATCAGTGCTGCAGCAAAGTGTGGTGAAGAAGCTAGATGGTGCCAGGCGATCAGAAAGAAGAGCCTCTGGAATCTTAAAGGCTTCTTTCCAAGCAAGCAACCGTCTTAAGTGAGGCATCAACTAAGTCCACATGGGTGAAGCACACCAGCCTGTGTGATCCAAAACATGTAAATAATATAATCCAAATCTAAAGGAGGATGGGTATCAGAGCTTGAATTGTGAACACCTGGTTTGCAGAAGGATATGGATGACAGTTGAAACCCAAAATCCATTTGCAGGGTCCTCTCAGGGTGTAAGCCTCTGGAGCATCCTTTTGGGATATAAAGAGCCCCGTTATCAGACAGAGGGAATTGTTAAGTTGATGAATTAGGTCAAAACATAATACTGGCAAATCCCTTCCAATCATTGACCAGGGATGTGAATAGCGTTGCTATCATGCAGCATGCATTAGAAAGTGGATCATATTGGATGCAGTTAGGTTAAAATTTAGCACCCTACCATTAGCTCTCCATTGTGATCCACTTAAATCTGTTCTAGTTTTTAATATTTTCTACTTGTTTCATTGAAGTTTTCATCTGTTTTACTTTTTGTTGTTGTTGGTTTTTGTTTGCTTGCTTTTGATGCATTTTTGTATATGAAATCCAAGACGGGCACATATACAGAGACAGTAACCGGATCGGTGGTTCCTGGGGTCATGGCAGAGGAGGTTGGAGGGAAATGGAAAGCTAATAATGAGTATGAGAATGATGAAAATGTTCTACAACTGATTGTGTTGATGATTGCACAACTCTTATTGATGTGATAGAATTGATTTGTATGATATGTGAATTATATGCCACTAAAACGTGAGGAACACACACACACACATGCACACACATGCACACACATGCGAAGTCACCTCCATGCTTGGAAGGGGAAAATGTTGTAATGCTTTCCTTTGACCACGAGAGGGCGATAATCCACTTCTGTTGTGGTTTACATGTATTCGAATTATTTTTTTCATTCTCCAGCTAAGCTAAAATCTAGTGTAACTGGAGTACTCTGCTGAACCTTCTGTCCATGAAATTTGCTTAATTGGATCATTAAGAATCTCTCAATTCAAGAAATATGACATCTCTGATTCTTGGGGGTGGGGCATAGTCATTTCCAGCATCATGTGAACAAACTGCACGCTTGTTTTATTTGGACTCTTGAAAAAGGGGAAGTGAAAATCATTTGGGTTTTGACACTTCTGTTTATACATCCAGGAAGAAGAGATCAGTCGATCTTTCAATCATGATACTACGTGTTAACTTACCGCAGTGCTTGTACTGATGTTAGGTCTTGCCTTCAACTGCTTTATTTATTGAATGTTTTACTAGACGGATGCCTTTTTGCAGTGCAACACAGTAAGCTCTTTGAGAATGACAAGGAAATCCATATTCCTCTATGTGGGGAGCAAATAGTGAGTCGACTACAGCGGCTAATCTCACAGTCAATGGCAGTGAGCTAGCACCCTGGGGTTGCCATGAGCTAGAGTGGAATTGACAGGAGCCTGTGAGTAAATAGAACTCACATTTTGAGCTCCAGCAAATGTTCGTAGTTCTGCCGTTGACTGTGTGACCTCCGCAGACTGCCTGCTTTCAAGTCTTGGGCCTTTTTTACTAACGCCTCTGCTCTCTTCTGGAGCTGGGAGGCTTCCACCATGACAGCGGGGAGGAGGCTGGTGGGATGACAGTGTCTGACGGGAGGTGCTCCACAGCTGCTGCTCTTTCACACGAGGCCTAATGGCACTGTGCAGTAAGCATTGGCTTGCTAACCTCAAGTTTGGAGGTTCAAGCCCACCAGCTGCTTCAAGCAAGAACAAAGAGGCTGTGTGCTCCCATAGAGATTTACAGACTCAGAAACCCTGGACAAGGTCACTGTGAGCTGGAATCTACTCAGTGGCCTTGGGTATGCTTTGGATTTTAGCCTGTAAATGTACAATGTGAGCAGCACCCGTAGGAGTTGCACAGTGCACCCCACCCCGTTTGGAGGCATTTGAGTGTATGATGCATGGAGTAAACATTAAGTTCAGCCCCGACTCTTGTTACAATCCCCAGTTCTGTCAATCTTGGGCCTGTGTGATCACTCATCATGTATTTGCTTTTCTTTTTAAATCTCTCCATATTTATAATTTCAAGTCTCAGGAAAGCATGTCGTAGATACCCTTCATAAGCACAGATTGATTTCCTTCTGGGAGTTGGACTTAACTGACTGCTGAACTTGATTTTGCAACAAGCACGCACTCACAGGGCTGGGGTTGTCTATAAATGCCACGCGTGGTGAAATTAAACTTGCTGCATTTGGTTTAAATGGAGCTCTCACCTGATGCGAGTTGCCAAGAAGATGCCACACATTACTACTTTCCTGGCACCTGGGTTTCCTCATCACCTTCATTCTTTGCTCATCAAAAAAAACAAAATGTTTCCTTTGTCATTCTTTCAGCTAAATGTGGCCCTGAGAAGAATTTGACTCACCCCTGCATGGTTCCAGAAGCATGCCCCGACGGCCAGTGTAGTCACTACCTTATTGTTCTGTTGTTCTTAGACTGTAGACTCGCCTTCTATTCGGAGTGACCCTGCCTACCACAGAAACCAATGCACACACACTGCTGGATGCCGGGCGAGCGTAGTGTTGCACCCACAAGGATGTCTGTCCCCTTTATGGAAGGTCCCCTTTTTCGGGGACACTTTACTTTCCCAGTGCTGTGCTGTTTTCATAGGACTTGTCCAGAGTACCGGAGCTGAAGATTCACCACGCTGACTTTTAAGGAGCATTCTGACTCAACTTCTTCCACGACAGATTTTTTTCCCTCTTTTTTTGGAAGCAGATGGTCAAGCCTTTTTGCTGTTTATCTTTTTAAGTCTTTCTCAGCCGAGAGGACCTGTCATTGATGTGCTTGTCAGATTGTTTCTTCTGGCCATCCCCGGTCATTTCAGTAGTCTTTCCTAACACCACAATCCAAATGCACCCATTATTCCGAGGGCTTCACTGTTTACTGACCAGCTCACGTGCTTTAGGGGATTGTAAATGCGGTGGTTTCTGTTAGTTCACCTTAATCCTCAGAATGACATCTTTGATTCTGTATCGCCTTTTATTTTCCACAACTGCAATCTGTTGTCCTATGACAAAATGTTGCAGTCTCTCCAGAGAATGTCTTTTTTTTTTTGGCTTTTTAGTGGATTTCACAGCAGACCGTTAGGATAACTTCGTTGTTGGGAAAGCTGGCTGCAGTTTAGAAAGGCAGTTCTGGACAGTGAATTGCAAAGGGTTAATGAGCGCAGAAGCATCATTAAGAGAGCACAGGAGCCCTGGTGGTGGAGTGGGTTACGCGTTGGGCTGCAACCTCAAGGTCAGCAGTGGGAAACCTCCAGCTGCTCCACAGGAGAGAGACGAGGCTTTGTCTCCGGAGACCGGCTACAGGCTCGGGACCCACAGGGACAGCTCTACCCTCTTACAGGGTCGTTCGGAGTCAGAATGGACTCGGTGAGAGTGAGTTTGAGTTTTTGAGTTTTAAGTGTTCGAGGGGTAGAGTGACGTTTTAAGTTAGCGTGTGTTTATGATTCATTGGCAGTGTTGTTCGACCTTAACTGTTTCTTTTCTTTCATTTATTTATTTAACATGCATAATTTGGGTGCACTCTGTGCCAGAAGCTGTTCTAAGAGCTTTATGGGTGTATATTAATTTATTTTAATCTTCTAAACAACCTTACAACAGAGAGACTATGATGATCCCTAGTAAGTGTGCATTCTCATGGGGGAAAGTTGAGGAAAGCAAAGGACAAAATACGCAGCAGCTTGCTCAATGTGACCCCAGTAGGAAGGAGCCCCGATAGGAAGGAGCCCCGGGTGCAGTGGTTGTCCACCCACCAGCTAATCACAGGTGGCGCAAGCCCAGCCCCTCCTCCATGGAGAAGACACATGGCCATCTCCTCTCCTGGAGATGACAGTCTAGGAAACCCTGAGGGCAATACTACACTTTCCTATAGGGTTGCTGTGAGTTAGAATCAACTCCACCACACAGAGCACAGAGAGGAGTAGGGCCAGCGTTTTGACCCAGTCAAGTCCCCCTCCAGAATCTGTGCTCCTGGCTACTATATCAGTGAGCAACTGCTGCATAACAAACTACCCCCAAATGCGGTGGCTTACAGTGGCAACCACTTACCGTTTTCTCTGAGCCATTCAGTTAGCTGGACAGTCTGCCTCTCTGGGCCTTTCTCAGCTGACCTTGGATTTTCTCATCTCCCTGTGGTCAGCGGGGAGGTGGCAGATCTAGGCTGGCTTTGTCTAGAAAAGCTCAACTCTCTTTCCAAGATCGATTACCTTCCAAACTCTAGGAGGGGGCTCAAAAACAGAAGAGACATTGAGAATGTTTTTTCTCAAGCCTCGGTGTGTGTCCAGTGTTTCACGCTCGCATTTGCCCAAAGACATTCACACATCGCGTCCAGAATGAGAGCAGGAAGGTGCTACCAGAGGACGCGGACAGAGGAGCGCATGCACATCAGGCCGCTCCATGAAATTCCTCTTCGGGACTCCTGATACAACACTGGGGTCTTTCTACCTTGCTTCCCAGCCAGTTTCAAATTCAGTGTTTCAGATACCAAACGAGTTGGGAAATGCTATAAAACTAGCCTTGTCCATTTGGGGTGGGGGGAGGTGTTGGGGGGCAGTAGAAGAATCATTAGGCAAGTGGAAAGTGAAAGGATGTCTATGATCTTAGGCTGATCCTGGGGAGATGCCATCAGAGGCTCCGACCGAAGCCAGAACAGCACCAGCAGAGAACGGGGTGAATCACACTACATCCCTGGCACCGAAGCCGCCCTCCCAGGCTGTCCACAGCCAGCCGCCTCCAGGTAAGGCACCTGAAAAGAGAGCTTACAGCCTGGTCATGAGTCTCCATAGTCCATGTATTTGCCACGAAGGGAGGCGGCGTGAGTTGGTTGCCTAAAGCATCCCTTGAGAAGAGAGCCGTGTATGCAGGAGAGGTGCCGTCAGTGTGGTTTGCGTGAATGAGGAGCTGAGTGCAAGCTGAGAGTAACACGGGGCTGTTCAACGGGCTCTGATCATGGGTTAGTCATGAAGCCATCTACTGTCACCCGGGTGTCCACGTCTTTATTTCATGACAGAATGTGACCCGTGGCTGGCAAGGCTTGTGAAGAGTTGTTCAAGCAATTCATAAATGTCACCACTTTAGAAGCACTTCTTTAGCCCTTTCTCCCAGCATCACGTTAAGCCCCCCACCAAGAATTCCTCTCCCTCTCTCTCTGCCCGGCTTACTTTTCAGTAACACTGAGCATCCACCCTGTGCCCGGCACTCTACGAAGACCTTCACATGAATGATCTCATTGCCCATTCATGCTCATGCTGTTGTTAGTTACTACTAGTCAGTCTTGACTCCGGTTAATAGAATGAAACATGGTAACATCTCTTCCATAATTGGATCTGCTACGAGCAGCCAGTAAGTAGTCAAGATTAGAGTGGGATGCCACACAGTTCCTCAGATCATGGCCCTGATCCAATCAAGTGAAAGGACATTTTCTCAGGATGTGACCTGCTTCCAAACTAAGTGGATTCTGGAGGAAATGTGCTTGCCCTTCACTGGGACTGAGTCCTGGACCTGGCTTGTCCTTGGACCTCCAACTTTTTGGACTTGAGCCAGTGGTCTGTCATATGATCTGCCCATCCTGGGAGTCATCAGCAACCTACCTGTCTTGAATTAATTTGCCTCTGCAGCCAGAAGTCTGCTGTCTGACCTGCTGATCTTAGTACGATCTGCACTTGCACACTGATGGTCAAGAGAAACCTCGAGCCTGATATTTGACCTAGGGACTTAGAACTTGCTGCCTCTGTATTTTGATACAAGCCTGTCCCTCTCTACACATACATAAGCACCACTAGTCTTGTTTTTCTAGAGGACCAAGCCTGAGACAACATCCTGCATACATTTTTTGCAAGTAGTCTTTTAAAGATCAAATGCTGACTGCTTCTTAGAAGAGTAGTGAACCAGACTTCACATTACTTATTTTGGACCCATTATCAGGCAAGACCAGTTTCTAGAAAAGGACACCATATTTCATTAGGCAGAAGGCTGAAAAAGCAAGAGAAATTTACAATGAATAAACTGAAAAATAGGTCCAACAGTGGGATCAAATATGCCAATGTTCACGAAGATGGAACTGTACCAGGTAATGTTCTCTAGAGAAGAAAAACAACAGTGATGTGTGTGTGTGTGTGAAGAGATTTATATCAAGGAATGACTTACAGCGTTGTAGAATTGGGTCAGGAGAGCCAAGTTCCCGTCTGTAGGTCACAGGTACGCTGAAAGCATCTCTGACGCATGTAACTGTGGAAGCTGAGGAACAGCAAACAAGATGAAGAAGCAGAAGAACCACAGGCTGGTGGATGCAAAGGTAAATGCTTCCAAGAGTGGCAGTGCATTGAGAGCTCTTGGGATCAGCAGGCAACACAACAGGAAAGCAACAAACCAGAATCAGGATCCATATCCAGCAGAGGGGTAAAAGAGTGCCCTGCTCTGCTCTGTGTCTCTCTCTTATACCAAAGGCCACACCCCCAAAGAGATTTCATCAGGCTGAAACCTGATGGATAGGTTGGGGTCCACACCTACCTTCACTCAGGAGTGTCTAGTTACCATAAACTCTAGCCATCAGATGATATTGTGTTAGATCACATCATGGGGCAGCCCTAGGTCTTACCATCAAACCAAACACAAACACCAAATTGGACTTCACAATCACAGGGACACCATTCTCCTGGCTTCCTAAACAAATGCGAACAACGCACAGCAATGTGTCGTGATCCAGTGGCACTCATACCAGTTATGAAGGACAGTTAACTACGAGGAAAACAACGCATGGAATCCAGCATATAAGTAAAACAAAAAAAGATAAGAACTAATGATCGGATCAATCAATGCATAAAAGGCGTTTACAAGATCCAGTGCTCATTCCTGATAAAAGCAATCAACAAAATAGGGATAAAAGAGAAATTCTTGAATATAATAAGGATCTTACATGCAAAACCAATGGCTGACATTTCTCTCAGTCAGAAAAACCTGAAATCATCCCCCTTGTGAAAAAGACCCAGAGAATGGTGCCTGTGTCACCATTGCATCATAACATTGGAACGTGATATGGTTCTATTCACAGAAAACCCAAAAGACTCAACAAGAAAATTTGGGGAACTAATTGAAGGATACAGCAACATAGCCAGGCACAAGATTAGCATGCAAACATCTCTCAGCTACCCATGTGGTAATCAAGGTATCTCGGAAAAGTTAGTCCTGAAAACAATACCATTTACTGGCTCCTCAAACATAAAATACTTAGGAATAAACCAGAGAATGATAAGGCTTGTATAAAGAAAACTATAACACACTGACAGGAAACCAAAAGAAACTTACATAATAGAGGAATATACCATGTTCATAGATAGGCAGATTTAACTATGTAAAAATGTCAATGCTACCCAAACCGATCCTTAAATGTAATGCAATATGAATCCAGATACCAATATCAGTCTTTAAAGAGAGGGAAAAACTAATCACCAACTTTATGTAGAAAGGAAAGAGGATCCAGTTAAGCGAATCACTCAGAATGAAGAATGAAGTCAGAGGCCTTTCAGTACCCAACCTCAAAACCTGTGACGTAGCCATGGTCGTCAAAGCCTGGTACTAGTACAAGGAGAGATGCATAGGCCAATGGAACAGACCAGAGAACCCAGAGATCAATCTCCCCATGTACAGACAACTGATTTTTGACAAAGGTTGAAAACACATTAAATGGTGAAGAGATAGTGTCTTCCACAAATAGTTCTAGCAAGACTGGATTTCCACTTGTAAAAGAATGCAACAAGACCCATCTCTAACTCCCTCCACATACATTGAACTCACGATGCAGTAAAGACCTGAATGTAAACCCAGGTTATGAAGACCATCAATGAAAAAAATAGGCCAAATGTAGGGGCCCAAATATATGACATACACACACTATCAAACATAGCAAACCATACACAGCAGAAGACAAAGTAAATGACTGGGACCTCCTAAAATAAAATATCAGACAAGTAGATAAGGATTCCTTAGGGTACAGTGGGGTGGGGGGTGTGAAGAAGGAAAGGATGTTTTGAAACTGATTGTGGTAGCGATTGGACAATCAAGCTTGAGATGACTGAACTATGGAATGCTTTAATATCTGTCTTAGCTCCCAATAAAAGGGTCTTGAAAAAGAAAGTAAAATAATAATAATAAGACAGTATGTGCACTAGAAGACTTCACCAAAATAATGAAAAGCCAACCCACAAACTTGGAGGGAAATTTGGCAATGTCTTCACAGGTAAGAGCCTAACCGCTAAAACTGTAGAAAAGGCGACACTTCAAGAAGAAACAGAAACAATCCAATGGGGAAAGAAAAGGCAGCGGACATGAACAGAGAGTCCACACAGAGAGCACTCAGGTAGCCAGCCACATCGGAAGAGATGCTGGTGCGCAGGCGCCCTCGGAAGAGCTGGAGTGTGTGAAGAAATATGAGGCATCAGGATTGGAGGAAGGCTCACCAATAACCTGTGAGATGCAGATGACACAACCCTGCTGGCTGAAAATGAAGAGGACTTGGAGCACTTGCTGATGAAGATCAAGGATTGCAGCCTCCAGGATGGATTACAACTAAGGTAAAGGAGACCAAAGTCCTCACACCTGAACCCGTAGGTGACATCATAGACAGAGAAAAGACGGAATGTGTCCAGGACTCATCCTCCCTGGATCCATCATCCATGCTCTTAGAAGCAGCAGTCAAGAGATCAAACGATACATTGCACTGGGGTAAATCCACTGCACAAGACTTCTTTAAAGTGCTGAAAAGCAAGAGGGTTACTTTGAGGACTAAGATATGCCTTATTCAAGCCATGGCGCTTTCAGTTGCCCCATGTTTGAAAGTTGGACATTGAATACAAAAGCAAAAATTTGAATCAATGCATTTGAATTATGGTGCTGGCAAATTATATTGAAAGTACCATGGACTACCGAAAGAACAAACAAATCTGTTATGGAAGAAGTACAGCCAGAATCCTCCTTAGAGGCAAGGATGGCAATTCTTCTTCTCACACCCTTTGGACATGTTGTCAGGACAGACCAGGCCCTGGAGTGGAGGGGCAGGGGAAAAGGGGGAAACCGTCAAAGAGATGGGATGGGAAATGATGGAAACAGGGAAAGCTGTGGGAGGTTCAATAAACTGTTGAATACAAAAATTATGATCTTTTATGTAAACCCTCACCTAATATACAATAAAAAGCTTTAAAAACAAAACGAAACAAAAAAAAAACCATTCAGGGCATTGGTTTCCTAGGTCAAAAAACATGGGGTATTAGTCAATTGTCATAACATAGCTCAGAAAGATAATATTCCACATTCCAGTTTTATGAATGGAGCCTTAAAATCTTAGAAGTGCTCATGTAATAAACAATAATTGGTCTACACTCACATGTAGCAAAACGAATAAGGAGATAAAGCCTTGATATAGAAGCCAATTCATCTCACTAACAACCTCCAGGAACCCTTCTTCTAACCAGATGCCAGATGAACTCGATGGCGTCTGGTTACCACTACGGACCAGCCTGACCAGGGCCACCATAGAAGCTTCACAATAGAAAAGGGAGACATGTGTAAAACAAGACTCAAATTCCTAAAGAAGTCCAGATCTGCTGGATCAAGAGACGTGGCATGAATTCTCAGGAGGATTAGCCTTATGCCCTTTGAACTTGGAGCTGAAGTTATTTCTGCAGGTCACCTTTCAGCCAAATAATAGACTGACTTATACAATAAACAGCATCAGCCAGGAGTAACGTGTTCCCATAAACAAGTAACTATATTAAACCTAATATTTAAAAGAAAAGTTAAAAATAAAAAAATAAAACCTAACATTTACCCAAAAGCCAAGATGAGAACGCTGAAAGTGGAAGCGGAGCCCAGAAAATGGAGAAGGATCACGGAATGGAAATCATGAGAATGCTAGTACTCTGTAACAACTGTAACCAATATTATGGAACAATTTGCATAAAGATTGTTAACACCCACCGCCATCCAGCCTGTGCGGCACCCTGTAGCAGCCCCGGTGGCCCAGTGGTTGGTTGCTCATTGGGCTGCTAATCACAAGCTCAGCAGTTTGAAACCAGCAGCTGGTCCACGGAAGAAGAGACCAGGCTTTCTACTCCTGTAAAAAGTTACAGTCTCAGAAACCCTGTTTCTACCCTGTTGCTATGGAGCCAAACTCAGTGCCGTCCAGTCGGTACCGACTCACAGCGACCTTATTGGGTGGGATGGAACTGCCCCCGTGGGTTTCTGAGACTGACTCTTTATGGGAGTAGAAAGCTGCAGCTACGTCTTTCTCTCTGCCCTCTAGGGTCGCTATAAAACATTATTAAGGGGGAATCTAATTTACTATGCAAACTTTCTCAAGTAGTGTTAAGTACTTGTCATTCCCGATTTTGCCAGAAGGTGGCAATAGCATTGCTTAGATTGAATTTTTTTTTTTTTAAGCATCTCTCTTTTTTCAGTCATTTTATTGGGGCCTCAAACTACTCTTATCACAATCCATACATGTATCCATTATGTCGAGCACATTTGCACATATTCTGACATCATCATTTTCAAAACATTCTCTTCCGCCTTGAGCCCCTGGTATCAGCTCCCTGTTTCTTCCCCCTCCCTCCCTTGCCCACCTTCCTTCACCAGCCCTTGATAAGTTATAGATTATTATTTTCATATCTTACATCATCCTCTGTCACCCCTCACCCACTTTTCCGTTGTTCATCCCCCTGAGAGGGAGTTATAGGTTGATCCTTGTGATTGATTCCCCCTTTCTTCCCCTCCCCTCCCCTAATCCTCCTGGTATCTCTACTCTCTCTGTGGGTCCTGAGCAGGAGGGGGGACGGAAGGGGGGAGGCGGGTAGTCTATAGCAGTGTGAATGTTCTGGTCTAATCCTATTTGTAAGGTAGAATTGAGGTCATGATAGTGGGGGAAGGAAGCACCAAAGAACTAGAGGAATGTTGTATGTTTCAATGGTGCTATACTGCACCCTGACTGGCTCATTTCTTCCCTGTGACCCTTCTGTAGGGGGATGTCCAATTGTCTACAGATGGGCATTGGGTCTCCACTCCATTCCCCTCCCATTCACCTTGGGTATGATTTTGTTCTGGGTCTTAGATGATTGAATTTTTTTTTAAGCCATCCAGTTTAGATTCAATTTAGAAGTGCTTTTCACTCCCTATAAGAGGAACATATAATTTCACATTTAATTCAGTGTCCCTCAAAGTTGCAAAAACAAAAAACCTTTCTTAGGGTGTGAAAGAGTGTTGAAAGAATATTTCTCTCCTGAAATTTGTCATATAACATTTAAAATGAAGTTCAACATGTCTACTCACTCTGTATTTTGATTCCAGGCTCAGTAAAGGCACCTGCTAAAACAGAGGATCTTATTCAGAGTGTCCTAACAGGTATGCACTGCCCCTCCCGTGGCACGATACAGCTGGGTACGTTATGCAGGGTTGATTTCCACTCATCTCTGAAAAAGAAGACAGTATTTTCTCTCTAAATAGAACTACAGGCATATGAGGGATATCAGAAAGTTCACAAGAATTAAAATATAATGAAAATTTTCCATGAGTGTTTTGCAGGCCCTTTGCATAGATGTTGTAACAGGAAGTATCATGATGTCATTACAGAGAATGAGCTCTACTTGAAGGGCCCTGGTGGGGCGGTTGGGTAAGACTCAGACTGCTCACCATTAGGTCAGAAGTTCGAACCTATCAGCCACTCTGTGGGAGAAAGATGAAGCTTTTTTCTCCTGTAAAGATTTACAAAGCCTCAGAAACCCTAAATAGGATTGCCATGAGTCAGAATTGACACACTGTCATGTTTTGTTTTGTTTTCTGTATTGGAGTAAGTAAGCTATAATCATACATAGCAACATGGATAGAGCCCACCAACCAGATGCCGAGGAAAAGAAGACCAACATTAAGGAGTAGAGAGCTCAAAACAATAGTCAAAACTAATTCATACTGGAGGAAGAGGCTATTGAAAAGCTAAACCAAAGGCATAGTGGAATGCCTTTGGACTGCTAACCATAAGGTCACCAGTTCAAACCCACCATCTGCTCTGAGGGAGCGTGAGTAGGTGTTCCTTTCCTATAAAAGATTCACAGTCTCAGAAACCCACAGAGGGCACAATACTACCCAGTCCTATCCCTCTCGTGTCACTAGGAGTCGGACTTGCCTCCGTGGCAGTGAGTGAATTGATGCTGGTGAGGCCGGATTTGGATTACACTTGCTGGGAGGACAGTGATGTCTGTGTGTTGCTCTGAGAGATTGCCGTAAGTGTGTGCATTTTGTGCGCTCGTTTTGGGCTGCACATTTCTAACTTGTGTGCTTTATGCATGTCTGTCTCACCAACCAATCTCAGTAAAACAAGCATAGAAAAACAAATATGTGTTTACATACCTGGTTCTAAGAGAAGCCCAGCTCAAAGTTGATGGGGGAAAGGGAGAGAGACAGGGGTTTTCAGAGAGCATAGTTCCAGTGGTATTGAGAAGTCGGCAAGCACATAGAACAAGACAGTGATGTAGGCCAGTGGTTCTCTCTGAGGGGTTTGTCCGTGAGTGGTAGTTTTCTCTCTATATTAATGGACATTACTTTCATACATGAGAGCACAGGCTAGCCTTGCAACCATAGCTTTCTTACCCTAGACTGGAAGATCTTGCACCCTGCTGATCAATTTTCCATAGTTGATGTGCTGCAAGCCATTTTGAAAGTAGAATTAAAAGCATCGCCAAAATATGCCTTCGATCCCTGGAGATGATAAATTCTTAATCTGATAAATGATTATGCAACTATAAGGCATCCATCTGGGCCTCAGGGAAGCCATTAAATCCGCGTGGCACTGTCTCCTCAGCCTCCTCCTCAAAAGGAAGTAAATGTCAGGAGAATAGATACAGTCCTGAAAAGAAGAAGAAAAAGGGAGCGTATTTCAATTGCTTAAAGACCTTGACATTTAGAAACGGAAGTGGTTATTCTCACTTCTATGTTATCCCCCGGCCAGCTCATCTCCTGCTCAGGTCTGCTGTTACTCGTGGCACATATCATTTCTGAATCACCCAATAATTCTAAATATGTCTGGTCACATTCTGTTTGTTTGTTTCCAGAAGCAGACAGTTTAAACCAAGAGAAAGAAATCTGTGACCGTGACTTAATCTAGGTCCACATGAATGATAATTAATCAAAGCTCAGATGCCCTCCCCTGTGAGGCACTCACAGCTCGTGCTGCTGAGAAAGAAAGTGGTGGGCAGTGTGCACGCTCCATTGTCTCGAAGATACAGCTTGACTTTGGAGCAAATTAAAAAGTGTACATGCTAGAATGATTCATGAAATGTGCCAATAAAGTGCAGAAGGTTTTTAGTTCGGGCCTGTGGCATTTAAAGTGTTCTTAGCGTTGGAAAAAGGGCTCTGTTGGTCACCACGAACCCTTATGGTGGCCTTGTACAAATCTGACTGAGGCTATCCTGATCAATTCACGATGGCTGTTCATGGATGGGGCCCCTTTGTGATTTAATAATGGTGCCACAGAGCCGGTACCATCACGTGTGACGCCTCTTTGGCCGTAGTGCCAGAGCCTGTGTTAACTAAGATCCATGAATTATTTCATCATCACAGTAGCCCTATAAAGTAGTAAAAGTAGCAGTACTTTTAAAGGGGATGTTGCCAGTGTCCCCCCGCAAGTCTCCTCCACTGTCTGCTGCACTTATCTGGTGGCTGTTGGTGATTGTTGGCTGCTAAGAGCTCTCAGGGTTCCCCTTCTCTGGGGAGATCCTCTTTCTCAGATAAGAGAAAGGCTTCTCTTCCAAGCAGATCTGCCTCTGCCATCAGCCATCCCAATCCTACAAAAGACCAACCTCCGCCTCAAGGTGAGACCAAGTCTGTGGGATGATTCACACTCCAAGGTTCCCGACAGATCTCCTTCTCTCGCTCTCCTCTTCCTGAGAGTCACCCCGCGTAAATCACAGGCAAATCGGTCCCCATCATGGGCTATGCTTCTAGAGAAACAACGCAAAAGCCAAATCCAGCTAGAATAAAATCATAAATAAGAAAACAAGAGTCTTTGAGAAGTGCAGTAACATGGTTAGCACAAAGTTAGCACATCGATGCACCAGACTGGAGTTCAGCTATGTTTGACAGCAAAGCGGGGTCCGTACATGCCAGCGGATCTGGCTCTGCAGACAAATGTTCTCAAGTGGGCGGCGGCTGCTCTGGGCATCTGTGCTTTCTGTCCCTCCATGTCCCTGAGTTCTTATACTCATTTGTTGCAGAAGTGGAAGCACAGACTCTCGAAGAGCTGAAGCAACAGAAATCGTTTGTGAAACTTCAAAAGAAGCACTACAAAGAAATGAAAGATCTGGTTAAGAGACACCACAAGAAGACAACTGACCTCATCAAAGAACACACCACAAAATATAATGAAATTCAGAATGACTGCTTACGAAGGCGGGCGGCCTTAGAAAAGACCGCCAAGAAGGATAGTAAGAAAAAGTAAGTCCGATGAGTCGTTCTTACTTGTTTGCTTTGACGTGGGATTTTTATGTTTGGAGACCATAGGTGGTGGGGTGGGGGTGGTTGATATTGTTCGGTGCCAACGAGTCAGTTCTGACTCATAGTGACCTTGTGTACAACCGATGAAACACCACCCAGCCCTGTGCCATCCTCACCACTGTTCTTATGTGTGAGCCCATTGCTGCAACCACGGTGCCCATCCAGCTCGCCAGGGCCTTCCCCTTTTTCATGCCCCTCTGTTTACCGAGCATGATGTCCTTCTCCAGAGACCGGTTTCTCTAAGAACATGTCCAAAGTACATGAGCTGGAGTCTCTCGCCGTCCTTACCTCTAAGGAGCATTCTGGCTGTACTTCTTCCAAGATAGAGTTGTCTGTTCTTTTGGCTGCCCATGGTACTTTCAATATTCTTTACCAGCACTATAATTTAAATGCATCAATTCTTCTTCTATACTTCCTATTGGGTTAGACAGGGTTCCCTAGAGAAAGAAGACCTGGACACTTATGACTCTATATATTTATATAGATAGATATATAAAACATAAGAAAGAAACCACTCAAGCTATAGAGCAGTACAAATGGCTCAGTGAAACTCACTTCTGTGAGACAGCTAACACCCTGGCAGTCCTTCAAAACATGAGGGCCACCAAGGGAAAGTCAAGGAAGCAGACAGCTGAGTCCTCTGTAGAGTAATTCAGACAATCCGGCCACAGGCAGCAAACAGCAAGACAGATCACCAACAGTCAGCCAGATGGTAAGGTCCAACATTCCCCAGCTCAAGCGATGCATACTCCAGTAGCATGGGGAAGCAGGTCTTGAAGGAACCTCAAACTACAGCAACCCAGTCCACGGGTTGGGTGTCCCACTGGTAGTATAACTGGCAAGTTGAGGCAGAGAACCAGCTAAGGCAGCTGCACACTGGTCCAATCATCAAAGAGCAAGAGACAAGAAAGGCGAGGCTTGCCAAGCCATTTATCTCTCTGCCCTTCTATTAAACTGCCCTTCAATTAATTCCACATGTTTTTTGTCTAGGCTGGCACAATAAACCTACTTATCACACTTATTCAATGTCCAACTTTCACATACAGATGAAGCAACTGAAAATATGGCTTGGACCAGGCACACCATACTCCTCAAAGTAACCTCCCCAATTTTCAACACTTTAAAGAGGTCTTGTGCAGCAAATTTACCCAAAGCAATTAATATAGGATGATATCATAAAACTATACCACCACCAAAAAGTGATGTCATCCAGTTCCCTGCATGTTCCACAACTCGTCCCTTCAGATTATAATAAAGATAATTATTCCTACTGATGTGCTGAATTTCTTTACTTGACCAGATCTTGAGACTTACTCCAACAAAGCAAGTACAGTACGCCCCTACCCTTGAGTGCCACCGCATGGCCCCAACATTACCTGGCTGACTTCCCACAGTACCACAGTCAGCTTTGCCAGATGAAATTTTGCCATGTAGGTAGAAGCCATGTAGATAGAGGAAATACTTGGTCTTGTCAAAGAGAGAAATTTCCGCTATCGTCTGTTTCTTTTTCTGCAACCCACAAAGTCCAGCACAGGTGGGTGACTTGACCATGTTTGGGCATGGACACCTAGCCCAGGATGGTAAGGATCTTTAACAATTACATGGCGTATCCATACACTATGAAGCCTAGGGAATTACATTGCCCAAGTAAATTTGTTCATTTACTTTCCAAAATGTTGTGAACTTACTCTTCTAAGTTTGGACCTCTGGAATTTCGTTAGACATCGTTTTGTTGGTTTGTGGTATGACTTTCTCATGGACAACAAATAGTACATTGCAGCATGAAGTTCCCTGACCAATAGTGCTAAATTTATTTTATTGCTTGAAGTTTAATGATAAGGAACTGGAACTTAAATGCAATGACTGTCTCTTGTGTCGTTTGTTTCTTAAGGGCACAAATGATCGCTGCCTTCTTCAGGGTTTGTTTTGCTAACCATCAAAAAAATATTTTAATTTGTTATTCCAAAAGCATTAATATAGCCAAGGGGGCACACTATTTGTATGCTCTGCTACTAATTGAAAGGTCCATAGTTCAATCCAACTAGCTGCTCCCCGGGAAGATGTGGTGCACTGCTTCCAAAAAGATTACAGCCTGCGAAGCCCTGCGAAGCACTTCCCCTCTCTCCTCCAGGCTTGCTCCTAAGTCCGAATCCATTAGCCGGCAATGAATTTAATCTAGTATTGTGTGAGGCGTTGTTCCCCACACCTTACAAATATCAGTTCATACAATGCTTACAATAAAATGTCATTTGTGGTAGTAAATAATGTGGAAGACTTGTAGAGTGCAAAATCAAGAATGTTCTGTAGTTCTATTTCTGAGTGTTACAGGGCTCTAATGAATTACTATCCTGTCACAGGTAAGAACAGCCTGGTGAGTGGTTTAAAATAATCTCCAGAGCGACAGTCCACCACTGACTCTAATCACCACGTATTCAGATTTATGTCGATAGTGGGTAGCAAATGGTCAAGGTCAATCTGAATGAAGCATTTTTTTAAAGAAAAATAAATACAAGACTAATCCCAAGAAGGGGGTTGAGTATGTACAAATATCTCCTTTTGTAAAAATACTGTCCCGCTCCATTATCCCCGACATTAGCCACCACCCCTCCCTTGAGTGTAGTCCCTTCTGCCCCTGAGTTTTGCAGTTCATTGCAGTGGAAAGAACAGAAGAAAAATGGCTTGCACACTTGTAAGTGCTGATAAGTCCCCAAACTCCAAAATTCAAATGTCTGTCTGGAAGGTTCTGCTCATTGCCAAGGCCGTGGAAGCTGGTGAAATCGGGTCAAGTAGTAACCACAACTCAAATCCCCAGAACTGGAGGTCAGGCAGAAAGAGCAGAAAGCCAGGTGCAAGATCACCTCTTGCTGGCTGTGAGATCCCACCCGCTGCTTCTGAGCTGTTTCATTTCATATCCATCAGAACAGCTTTAGCAATTAACTCTGCCTCAGTCACTCCTAGCTAATCATACAGTCCAATCAGTCCTGTTCCCTCCCGTCTGAGGAAGACCATCAAGGAAGAGGCACTGGGTGGAAGTAAAAGGTAGCTATGGCAAGCAGGGATTGATGCGGAATCTGAAGAGTTGAACACAACGGTGATGACCTGAAATGCACCCCAACCCCCATAAAGGACAATCTCTAAAAATTGTTAAAATAAAATTACAAACAAAATGACAAGTTTGGTTAGCAAAATGATGTAGTTTTCTTTTAAAATGCAAGTTCATTTAATAAGTATGTTACGGGAGCTTCAAGTGCTTGCCTTCCCAACATAAAGATTGACTTTGAAAGGCATGGAATGAGGGGTTTCGCATAGAGAAATTTTACTAAAAACCGCCTAGGAGAAAGTGAGAGACAAAGACAGACCACCAGACCAGCCTCCCGGACTGGCTCTCTGGTCCTTCCCATTTCTCCTTGCTCTTGTGAAAGCAGGCTGGTAAACAGTCACCGGAAAAGGAAATTCCACTTGGGGAAGCAAGGCATTCTGGGAAATGTAGTCTCAAAATACTACAGGCGTTCTGTGCATGCTCAGTCCAAATCTCCAGCTTCACTCCCTTGGCCTACCAGGAGCTTAAAATAATAGTACAAAAGTAATTACAAGACAAATCATGAAGCAAAAAATAAACTTTAGAAATATTAAAACTTCACTGCACCAAGGTGATAATCTTTGGACAGCCCGCTGCCACATCTTTCTCCCTTGGAAAGGCTGGTGGGCTCAAACTGGTGGTGTACAGTTATCTGTGGGGCACTTAACCCCCGGGCTCCTTGTCCCCTGTGGGAGAGGGTATTGTACAAGGTCTGCATCACAGTGTGAATGCACAGGAGCTGGAAGGATGAAGAGATTTTCCCAAGAGCAAACCCTGAGGCAGGCCCACCACTTGCTCAGACCGGGGTCTCCTGGCTTTTCCCAACACCCCTTCTCCCCATCATCACTGAGAGGACACTCCAGGTTAACTCTGGAAGCGGGGATTATTTATCTTCAAGAGGGCCTTTCAACTCATCCCCACCCCAAATTCGAGAATAAAAACTAAACCAAACGCCCTGCCAGGAGCCAATGCTGACTCTTAGTGACCCCCCTGTGGGCTTCTGAGCCGTTAACTCTCACTGGAGTAGAAAGCCTAGGCTTTCTCTCATGGAGCTGCTGATGGTTTTGAACTACTGACCCTGTGGATCGCAGCCCAATGCGCCATTTTGAAGTGGCCTGGATTTTTGTGGATTGAAACTCTAACCTTGTTTTTGCCTGTGCCCTAGCCCTGAGTGCTGTGTGCTTGTTTGGTGTGGCATTTAATGTGCCCAAGAGGCATGTGTCAATGCAGAAAGATAAGGAGCAAAGCAACACAGGCTGCCTTGTGAGAATATTGTCTTCCGGGCATTTAATTACCACAGCAAGTAGGGCTGTACTGCCCTGGCTCACAAATGGTTCACCGGCTTGACCTTTGGCCTTCCAGAGGCCAATTGCTCACAAAGTATTTATTGCTGTAGAAAAGCATATGTAAAATGAATTTTACAGTGTCAAAGGTTTTTTTTAGAAGCATCATCATCATCTTTCTCATTAAAGACATCCAATGGCTTGACTCACAATACTTGTCACTGAGAAGTAAAATTTAATTCTCTAGGAAGCATTGGGCCACTCACTGCAACATCGGTGGTTCAAACTTAACAGCTTCTTCACTAAAAAAGGATGAGGTGGTCTGTTCCCGTATGGATTTATAGTCTCAGGAATTCAGTGGAGCAGCTCTACTTTGCCCTATAAGGTCCCTCTGAGTCAGAGTCACACGACAGCAGCGGGTTTGGTTTTCACTAGAAAGGCCATAAGCCATCCTGACACTGTCAGCATGGAATCTACCAGACCCATGAGGGACGGAGCAGGCAGGATGTGCAATATCTTTTCTGCTTCACGTCCCTTTCTAGTTAATCTTAATTTGATACCAAGTGCTACAGAAAGTAAGATGCATTTTTCAAGTCCATACTGTGACATGTGACTTAGAATAATTAAATGCAGTAGTTGAGTTCTAAAAAACCACAATCAAAAATGATCCATACTCAATCAGGTGGATTTTATCACTTCTGAGAAAGGTTGCAGCTAATGATGCCAACAATGTCCAAAATTGAAGCAGCCACCTCAGGCCAACCTCTGTCTGGGTGATATTTAGGTACTCATTAACTCATTCACTTATCTATTTATAAGCCACATTCTTCAAAGGTCCAATAGACTATTGAAGTAACCTATATTAGAGGCTACCAGTAGCTAATGCTGGCTGGAACACCATTTTAAAAAAGCCATAGAAGACACATGTGTAGAAAGCCTACTGAAGTAGTCAAAGATCAACCACCTCCCGCAGAGCAGATACCAGTCCACTGGACTGTCCTGCCGCACATGGCAACCACTAGTCTCATGTGGGAGCTGAATCCTTGAGATGCGGCAAGGACAATTAAAATGTGCTGTAGCTGTAAAATACAGAGACCTCAAAGACTTCATCCGAATGAGAGAGAGAAAGAAAAGTGTCGTAAAGAGTATATACTTTCATATTGACTTCTATGAATTTCATATGAATTACCCATTGAGACGTTATTATTTTGGCACATTCTATTACACTCCATTGTGGAATTAACTTCATCTGTTCCTTTTCAGTTTCTCACCGTGGCTGCTAAAAATTCTCATACGTGGCTCACATTATATTTCTACTAGAGAACACAAACCGTTCAATATCAGTTCTGTCCTGAACAGTGAATTTAGCTTAGTTTCTGAGAAAAGGAAATATGGACCCCATCATTCTCCTTATCTGATTAAAGTGAATTTGCTTGTTCTTCCAAGAGAGACAAACATTGTCCCAGGATTAAATTACAAAGGAATGTATATCTCGTGGATCTTATACAAGCAATATCAGAAAAGGAGGGATAGAGCCTTCCATCCTGTTTTTACAGAGCCTGCAGAAGTGGTCCTCATTGATTTTGCTTTATTTATATACATGGCCCCTCAAAAATAAACTAGGCCTCTCAGTGCCATCAACTAGATTCCTAGTCACAGTGACCCTAGAGGACAGGGTAGACCTGCCCTGTGGGGTTCCCAGACTGTGACTCTTGATGGGAGTGGAATTCTGACCTTTCCCCAATAAAAAGGTGGTTGGTTTGAACCTTGGGATCAGCAGCCCAACTTGTAACCCACTCTGCCACCAAAGCTGCTGAAACACCTTTAAGCTCCTTGTATCCAAATGTGCAACAGGACGAGCTTTTCAAGAGGCTGTCTGTCGGGCCATCTCCCTAGACATGCAATACTGCTAGTTGTGAGATAGACAGATAGAGGAATGGTTCATCGATGATAGATGATAGATAGATAGATAGTAGATAGATAAACTAACACTTGCCGTTGAGTCCATCTTGATTTGTAACAATCCCATATGTGTCAGAGTAGAACTGGGTACCATAGCAATGGATGATTTTTCAGAAGTGGATCACTAGACCTTTCTCCTAAGACACCTCTAGATGGACTTGAACCTGTAACCTTGGGCTAGCAATCCAGCCTAGGTCGCTCAGCAGCAAATAGATACACAATAGAAGCCTGGAACTACCATAGGGTCATAAATAGTTGGTATCATGTCTACTGATTTTTTTCCCCCCTTTGTCTGATGTCCATCATCATCTAAGTGGGCTCTCCATGCTAAGTCAAAAGCTGTTCATGCGAAGTTGGGGCTCTCTGCTCCCATGAAGACGTCCAGTCTCGGACACAGTAGATAGGGTCGTAGGAGTCCCAGTTGAATGGCCTGGATGGCCGTGGAGGTGATTTAGTGCAGTTACAAACTCTGTCATCAAGCTCTGTGTCTTTGCAGATCAGAACCCAGCAGTCCTGATTCGTCAACGATTGAGCAAGATCTTGCTGCCCTGGATGCAGAGATGACCCAAAAGTTAGTAGACCTGAAGGCCCAGCAGCAGCAGCAGCTGCTTAACCTCCGACAAGAACAGTATTACAGCGAAAAGTACCAGAAGCGAGAACATATTAAACTGGTAAGTAGGGCTGTCGCCTGGGTTGGCCTCTCCTAGAAAGGCAACTCAGAGCAGCCCCCCCATGGGTGTCTTCCTTTATGAGACCATGCAGCATTCTTAGTAACGTCTGTTTTGAGTTTTAATTAGAGATTAATATACGATAGGTTTGTAACTCAAAGTTACATAAATGTAATCTTTTAGCGTATATGAATACTACGATAAAATGGCCTGGTAAAAATCTTTTTATGTTGAATTACAGCATTCTTAGTTACAACATAATTAGTAAGTTAGTGGAATTTCTTTCTCCTCCTTTTCCTTTGGTTCGGCAGCCCTGTTGGCACTGGGGGATGGGGATGGGGCTGCTAACCACAAGATCAGCAGTTCAAACGCAACAGCCACTCTGAAGGTGAATGACGAGGCTCCTGTAAAGGGAAATACTGTAGTCTCAGAAGGGTCTACGCAGAGTTACTGTGAGTCAGAATTTACTCGATGGCAGTGGATTAGGTTTGAGCTTTTCCCTTTTAATTACTCATTCATCCTCAAAATAAATTGTTGATGTAGGTCTGCAAATACTAATTAAGACAAGAATGCAGCTTGTGAAATGCAAGAAAAGTTGACCAAATCTACAACTGTTAAAAATGCCAAACCAAAAGCCTGCTGCCATTGAGTCGATGCCAGTTCATGGAGTCATGGGGTTGCCAAGAGTTTAGATCTTTACCAGAGCAGAAAGTCCCACTGTTCTCCCTCTGTCAGGAAGCCCCTCAAGGCCTGCCCCCAGCCCCGCCAGGCCCCTTCTAACAGCACCGCCGCACTGAAACCAACAGCGAGTGCATGTAGCGCATGCAAAGGACACCAAGTGTCACAGGGTTTCACTGTGGGGCATAATGACAGCTCTTTCTGCAGTGCCTTCAAAAGTTCAAAAGGAAACGAACATACGTTTAACAGTCTCGGTATATGGATACATAGAAAGTGGACTTCTGGGGAAATTTTTTGATGTTACAACTAACTATCGGGTTATTTTTTTTAAATAAAACTGTTACTGAAGCTTGGACAAAATTTTTAGAGACAGTCATTTTGGCATCACCCCTTCTGACCATGTCACTTGTTGCTACCCACACCCTCTGTATTTCCCTCGTCCTGTTACTGCTGCTGGTAAGCCCGCGATGCTTGACTTCTGTTTGCAGGGCAAGAGTTCTCTTTTCTATCGAAACTATTGGAGGCTGTTTGATGGCTTAATTGGAGACAAGCACAGATCTAGGTGTCAGCAGCTTGGGACTTAGGATATGCACCCAGGGCCTAGCACACTAATAGTGTATTATAAGCCCCGGGATTCCAGCATCTTTATCACGGTTCTCTAATCCCCAATGAGGCTGTGTTTTAGAAGTTTCATTTTCACCAGCTTATTTATGGCTTATAATAATTCCTGGGATTCTTTGCAATCTCACTAAGAAGTAGGACATACTTATATGGTTGTTTAAGAATATTAAGAACATGTTGCAAATATATTTTTGCTTTTGAGGGGGGATACCATTGGGCTTTATTTACAAGAGCTCAAAAAAATCTTAAGAGTTTACTCTTAAGATTTCAAACAGTCCGTATCTAAACAGTCCATACGTGATGTTGTCTAGCCAAAACTTGGAGCTCCCTACGACAGGAGGAACTGTCAGCTGCAGTAAGTGCTCTGTACTTCGGATCGACTGTTGTGTTGTAGGTACTGGAAGAAGATGGAAGCGGTAAAAGAATGGTTGGGCAGACAGAGGGCAGACAGATACACAGAGGTGTATCCAGGGGGTGGGATCAATAGACATGAAAAGGTCCATGGTAAGGGGAGGCAATGCTTTGAGACACCGCTACAACTGTCATCTGATTTTTAACAATAACCCTCACCGAGGCATCATAAGTAGAAACTCTGTATTGAACATTGGCTCTGAGATCAAACCCTGTACTAAAAGATGTACACGAAGTGTCCGATTGTATCTGCAGGACACTCGTCAAAGGTCGAGACTATCGTTAGCCTCATTTGGCAGACAAGACACCTTGTTTGATACTCAGAGAAGTTGAGTGACGGTCCTCTGACTCTACGTGAGAATGTGATGCAGGCAGATTTTGAACCTTGGGTCTCTGACGCTCAGGCCTCCACAGTCTAGTCATTCTGCGGATGCAGATGGCGAGCCTTGCGGATTGCTGTGTGCGTCCTTCCCGCACAGAGCACCCTCAGCAGCCCCTCCCTGTGTTGACCAGGACACGTGCCCTGGGACACTGTGCCTACTCTTTTCGTTCTACCTGATGCACCGTGTCAGTTTCCTGCTCAGTCCTTGGAACAGGAAAAGCAAAGCAAAGGGACACAGCTTCCCAAGTTTCTGAAATGTAAGAAAGAGAACAGCAATGTTCTAAATAAAAATCTTTAAGAATTTTCTTAAATCACACTTTCCTTTATACTGACTCGTGGTATAAAAATGTTATTTCCTTGATGCTGAATAAGGCCACTGAGTTTGGTAGGGGGGAAGGAGCCACGATTTCAGATGGTTAGCATCACATAGCATGAAACCACTGGCCCAGCAAATAGCTTCCAACTCTCTGTGGCGCCTCACCCTGTATCCACTCACAGTGAGTGACCCTGGAGAACAGAGAACTGCCCTTGGCCTTGGGAAGGCTGTGCTGTTGATGGACGCAAATGACCTCAATCTTTCCCCCATGGAATGAGTGGTGGGTTTGAAACACCACCTCCTCTCTTAGCAGCCAAGCTCTTAGTGACTGCACTACCTGGGCTTCATCCTATCCGCCTACCCACTGCCCTTGAGTCAATTCCAGTTCAGAGCAAGCCTGTAGCACAGAGGAGAGCTTCCTCTGTAGGTTTCAAGGCTAAATCTCTATGACAGTGGACAGCCTTGTCTTTCGGCAGCCCAGTGTGAAACCCATTTCACCCCCAAGGCTGTCTCCACCATGACCGTAGCTGAGGATCCTAATCTGCCTGCCGGCTCCGGCAGCTGGGTCTGTTGCTGCAGGCTTGCTCTTGCTACTCATAGCAGGGCAAAAGTTCAGGGCATTGCCATATTCAGTATGCAAACCTCAAGGATGGTAACTGGATCTGGTGTTTAAATCCTGCATCTTCCCCAGCCCTCTGGGATAGCTCTGAAATGCATGTTGAGTACTTTCTTTGAGACGTGCCTGGTGGAATTCAGCTTTGGGGTGTCGCAGGAGTAACTGGCTTGACGTTTCCTTTCTTGATTTTTTCTCCTTCCTGGTCTTACTTCTTCACTCCCCTGCCAGTGTTTCCTGGGATGGGCTCTGAAATGAGCTACTTGTACTTGAAGCGTTGCAGAAGGGAGCCCAGGGACTGGCCCATATGCTAAAATAGCGAAAGTGGACAAAGCCGAAGCAAACCAGTCTCAAAAGTCACCGGAATGTTACTCTGTATTTTAGAAGGACCACTTATAAATTGGCAATAATTACATTTATATGCTACAGGCAATGAGAGTTTTGAGAGGTATTAAAATGCCAATTTATAGAAATCTTCATCGTGGAGAACTTGTTCTATTTATTTACTTCTCCATCTCCAAAATTTCCCCTAGAACATTCTGCAAGAGGTCATCTTTTTCCATGATAAGTGTGTTTGGTAAAAGCCTCCCGCTCATTGGGCTTCCTGTGTTAGGGCAACCGCAGGATGCTCTATCTGAGGAGATCAAAGAGATGGGATTCTGGTGGCCAGTAATCTCTTGGGGTATCATAAGTCTCTGTAAGGCCTCTGTGTTTTACTTGGAGTGAAGTTGCAGCTGTCAGAGGACTTAGAGCAGAGGACTGACATGATTGAAGTTATTTTTATAAGAATAGCTCTGGAACTGTGCTATCCAATAAATTAGTGTTGGCCCTGAAAATGAAAATCCCAAAGCACAGTTCAATCAAATAGCCCAGGGAAGTAAGGAGTCATCGTTCGTCCGACACGACTGCTGTTCCCTGACAAGGTAAGTATCACTTAGGCGTGCCGCCCACTGAGCCATCATCATGGGGAGTGTGGCTAGAGTTCCAAATCCTGGGAAAGACCGCATTCCCCAAGGAAAGAAACTCAAAGGAGATTCCTGCCAAAAGAATTCAGAACACAGATGAAAACAGAATCCCAGCCATCCCAAAAGGCCTCCTGGGTAAAAGAGGATGAGGGTTGGGAAATGGAATATGAAAGCGAGAGGGAGTTCCAACCAGTCAATGTCCCAGGAAGGGCGCCTGGTGCCATATTGAATCACAATGAGGAGGAAAAATGCTTTATAACTTTCCTCTTGGAGAAAAGGTTGGCTGAGGACTAGGCAAGACCAAGCTGAGCCATTGAAAGTGAAGCTCTCAGTTAAGGGACTTTTGGGAGAGGAGGTGATGGGAGTCCTAGTGGACGTGGCGATCCCAAAGTATGTCCGTCAACTCCCTTCTCCCTAAGAGGGAATGGATTTTTAATAAGTTTTGGATAGTTTTCCAGAAAACATAAATGTATGTTGAAGTCATGGTCTCTACTGAGGTTGTGGATTTCGATTCAATAAGTCCCCAGTGCCCTTTGAACACACCTACGTGAACCTAAGTTAAGCAAGCTAAAGCCCAAATGCCATGGCTTGGGAAGCACAAAAGATATATTTTCTGGCACTGGGGAGCTATAATTTTCAACCTGACCTGATGGCAATTAACAACAGCAATATCATAATTAAAAATGCATGCTCTTTGCCGAGACATATATCATGGAATCACGATCAGTGCTTATGGAAGCATCCATCACGACATTGTGTTGGACAAATCTGCTGCACAAGACTTCTCTGAAGTGTTGATGAGCAAGGATGTCACTTTAGGACTAAGGTGCACCTGCCCCAAGCTAGGGTATTTTAATTGCCTCCTATGCATGTGACAGTTGGACATGGGTTAAGAAAGGCTTAAGGAGAAACAGTGCCTTTCAATAGTGGTGCTGGTAAAAAAAACATTGAAAGTTTCATGGGTTGCCAGAAGAACAATTTAGCCCTGGAACAAGTACAACCAGAACGCTCCATCGA